TTTTTAATATTTTGAAGTTTATATTTATATTTTTAGATCCTGAAACCCTTGAAACTGGGGGATCAGAGCATAATGTTTTTGTGAAAATGTTTTTTATAGACAGCCACAAGCTATATATAGATATATTCTTGATCATACATATCTGTGCTTGCTCATCCATTCGCCCGTTTGAACGCAGAGATCTCGTAAGCCAGAAATGTTAGAGACTTGAGTATTTTCATATATATTAGTGAATACCTAAGCAGTACGAGCTTATTATATTTTTCCAGTAACTCATCTCCTTTCTTTTTTATCGATAAAAATCGATAAAATTACTTTGTTTTTTAAGTGCCTTTTGTATACTGTTAGATCTGGAGAAAACCGGAGAATGCAAAGATTAGGTCATGCAACCAAAGTTGAAAGACAACTTTGGTAGCTGAGCAACAGAATTGGTGAAGTAGAGCTCCCCAAACCTCTTGACATATGCAAAGGGACTTTTTACTACTTAGTATTTCTTCTAGTACCATATGATATATGCATTGAAGCATTTTTGATTTAGTAGTATCAAAACGGAAACCGTGCAGAGCCGGGCAACTGCGCATAGATCTAATATATTTGTATTAACTTGTGAATCGTGAGAATTTCTGCGTGTGTGCGTGTGACTGTCAGTGTGTATGTGCGTGTGTGTGTGTGTGGCTCAGAAACTCGCATAGGAGTCCCAAGCGTTTGACTCGATTAAGCAGCACGAAACCAACAAAACCGAACCCTGAATTCCATATTCCGTATGCCGTATGCCATACGCCGTATGCCGTATGCCGTATGCCGTATGCCGTATGCCGTATGCCGAATTCCGAATTCCGAGCGGACGACCCATTGACCAAGTTAAAATATCCGCTATGTCCCCATGTAGCCTATATATACGTGTATGTATATATGTACGTGTGTATGTATGTGTATGTGTGTGTGTGTAGGTATGTATGTGTGTATGTGTGTATATATGTCTATATATTGTGCGGGCGGCTAGTCATGTCTTCATATATCTGCAAAAGGAAAACACACACACACACATACGTATAGAGAGAGAGAGAGTTGTGTGTGTGTGTGTGTGTGTTGGTTTTTGAGTTATGCAAACTATGGCAACTGTTTGCTGTAGCGTGTTTCATTTCCAGCAGCCACTTCAAATGCGGTTGGCAGCATTTGGGCCGCGGAATCAAGCGCCAAGAGACCTCATAAAAACGACTAACGGCACACAGCACACCAACACATATTAAAATGTGGCTTAATGGCACATACACACACACACACACACACACAGACGATGGAGTGGCAAAGGGTTCAAAGTTTGCCAAAAAAAAAAAAAAGCGAAAAAAAAAACGAGGCAGACAAATGGGAAAAGCGGCGCGCGGAACAAGCAAATGTATTTCATTCCATTTGTTGTTGTTGTTGTTGTTGTTGCTGTTGCTGCTGTTGGCTTTTCTCTATTCTATATATTTTGTGAGACTGTGAGTGGAATCGGTGCCACGGTGCATGCAATGCGCTGATATGCTGCTCTATGCATCCACACGATTGCATAATTTGAATCGGCTTGGCCGCCTCCTTCGGCGACTCGTGGCAACTGGAAGTCGTTCCAAAAAAATTCGCACAGCTCTGGGCAGACCGCGACCCTCTCAAGAAATCGCACAGCCAACAACTGCAGCAGACAGAAGAGAGCAGAGGGCAGGGAGCAAAGCTGAGAGCAGGAGCTGGGAGCAGGAGCTGAGAGCAGGAGCTGGGAGCAGGATAGCCCAGGCTCAGTGGCTTCGCTGTTTGGCAGTGCAACTGGGCAACAGTTCATTAATCTATTTACAAGTTCACGCAGACAGTTCGCATAATCAATCAATAGAGGGCGCGTGGACAGTGGGCGTGGCATGGCGATGACTAATGGCAGCCATGTACCAGCTGTGAGCTGTGGCTACCACGCTGCGGCCCAGATTCTCTTTTTTTTCTGCGGTTGAGCTTGCTAAGGCCAGGCGGGCTGGTATCTGGCCGAAAGGCTAAAGCCATTGCATGCTTTTCCAAATGTTCAAAACAAATATCAATTACGAGATTTGGCAACAAATCTTGGCCTAGACTGGCAGGAATCTGCACGAATACGGCTAGAGTAACGCGCTTTGGCAAGAGTTGCGAGGGTTAAGATTTCTACATAATATATATAGATATAAAGATGTATAGAAATATAGATGTATAGATATGTAGATATATAGATATACAGAGATATAGATATTTAGATGTATAGATATAGAGATATATGGATAAAGAACTATCTCAAAGAAAACTTTCAGACAGAGAAAATACTAGATAAGATAATAAAGGATAACAGCTGTATCAGATAAAATATTCCGTGAAAGAACTGTCAAGTTTCTATGATACAAGAGGAAGGAAACAAATAAGGAATGTGAAATGTGAATGAAATATCTTCAGAAAATCGTATACTAACTGTAATAAGAAGCAAAAACTTGATAAGAGAAAAGATATAGATTTTCTAGTTCAAATGTCTATAACAAAAAAAAAATATGTGACATTTGAAGCAAACGAAAGACTATATAAGGAAATTTCTGTACGAGATGACCATTTCTATGGTAATATATACAATATAAGTATAAGAAAGGGCGAACAAGCACAAAGGTTAGGAATATATTTTATATATAATACGGCAAATCAACATTCAAACATTCAGGAAAAGATTTCCAAGATAAAGAAAGCTCTATACATCAAGATGTCGAGGACCAGAATCTCGTAATATATTTATCATAGTTCGTCTCTTAATTTGTGTAAGTGAATAGAATAGTAAGAACTATTTATATAACTCGAAGAACTATGCGATATGGTAAGATTTCAACTAAGGAATAGAAAAAACAATCTAACATGGAATCTAAATAAGAATATCACATCTTCAAATTCCTTTTTATCCAGATGGTAATCTACATTTAACTACAGATAGTATACAAATTATACGACCTAAGTTCGCAACATCTTTACCTCCCACACTCGTCCGAATAACTTTCGAATGCCAAAAGTTATGTGAAATGTGACTTGAGATAGCTTTGCGCCCAAGTTGGTTGTGTTTTTATGGTACTTGGCTTGAAATGAAAATGATAGGCGATTGTTTGATGTCGAGTCGCTTTTGCGATATTTTATACATGCTCAGAGTCAAGTGTARTAGTAGTAAATCATAAATTTTACAATTGATAGAAAACTATACAATTAATGGGGCACTAAACAGTTGAGTAACTGAAGGAACGGAAGCCGCGCCAGCTCCTAATGAGATGTCTGCCAAATCTGGGACATCGATTGAGTGAACGAATCAGTCGGCTGCCGGCGAGTGCTGTGGGTGGATGGTTCAGTTGGGGTGGGGGATGGGCTGGTTCTATGGGTGGGTCGAAATGTTGTGAAGTGCTGGCTGGGGATTGGTCAGCCAAACTTATTGCTGGCCAGTATTGGAGGTGGCCATAATGAGGGTCTTCGGCTGTGCTGGCGATTCCGTCCTGGCTCGGACGACAGTGCTTGAGTGGTCAGCTGGCTCCTCCACAATGCCGGCCGGCCGGCCTTGATGATGACAGCGGCACAGGCAGAGCTGCTGCTGCTTCTTTAGACGATTGCGTTGACGCACTTCGGGATGGCCGCAGCAGTTCTCGCACTCATCGTCCGAGGACGAGGAGCTCTCGCCAAATGCATGCGGCTTGCGGTAAATGCAGCAGCACTTTGATTTGCGACGATTCATGCCCTCGTTATCGATGACCCCCTCCTGGAACGTCACATGGCGGTCCGAGTCCAAGCACATCAACAGCAAATGGACTCCCGATACGCTGGGCCGCTCCTCAGCCATGGCAGTGCCAGTGAGGCCCGACGAGCCCGATGCAATCTCCAACCCATTCCCAATGATGTCCGAGCTGTCTCGCTCAATTCTAATCGGTTGCGATGGCTGCTCCTCCATGCTGCAAGAGTTGTTTTTTTTATTTTTTATTTTTAGTCAGTGGATGTGCGGGTGTATGTGTGTATGCAATATTCACTCACGCACCTGATAAAGTTCACTTTTTTGGAATTAGGACTGTGCTAGCTTCAGAGAAGAAAAAATTTGTAGGCTAATGTATAAGTGTAATTTGGATGAAATTTGATTAGCTTTGAGCTTAGGTGAACAAAAATCAACGTGAGTCTCAATGCAAAGCCAACTACATATATTCAGCTAGCCAAAGCTGGCTCCCAAACAGTTTGCTGACCTTTGCCATTGCCGTTGCCAAGCGGCGCTAGGCTAGGCTAAGCGCAGTCTTTTCGCTGCCAACAATTTGGGCACGATTTACGTCCGCTGGGCTGCAGCCAGCAGCAGCAGGAGGAACAGCAGGAGCAGCGGTAGCAGCAGCAGGAGTCACACCCAGCCACTGCTGGGCCATGTTTATCTAAAGTGCCACGCCTCCTGCTACAACTGCAGCTCTACTTTATTATTGAGTGAGCCATTTTCCATTTGCCATTTTTCCCCCTCTCTCTCTCGCTCGTTTTTTATTCGCTTTTCACTCACCCACAACTTTCGATTCGCTATTTTTTTTCCGCCTCGCAAATAAATGTTCCAAATACTATAAGGACGGCTGGCTCGCAGCGGCGACTGTGCAGCTTGAGGTGAAGGAACTTTGTGCAAGCACTTAAAAAAAAAAATGAAAGAAAAAAAAAAAAAGAAAAAAACTTATTCGTTTGGCTTCTTCTATTGCCTTTTATTTTAGTTTTTATTCACATTTATGTGGTATTAGCGGCAAGAAAAATGATGTGTCTGGCCAAGAGGCGAACGGCCAGCACCTACTAGTTATCCGACCGTAAACCCACACAGCGCCCAGGCTAACCTGAAGTGCAATTCGAATATTCGATTACTTTTATATCGCAGACGCATTGGGGTAAATTGGTTTACTCAAAATGTACGTAGCAGGCAGAAGGAGGCGTGCCAGAGCCAGACTGCAGACTAAAGAATGTGAATTAGGGGAGGTACATACGTATGTATATGAGATATGTAGTATATGTATATACATATATACTATGATTATAAATATACATGTATACATTTGTATGTATATATTATTTCAAACATCCTATGGCTTTACCATCGATAAATATCGATAATTTGAGTATTTCAAATATGAGTATTATATATATTTTTTATCATCATCCTATCGATAAATATCAACAGTTTGGTTGTATTTTTTCAAATATTATTATTATATATATTTTATATCATCATCATATTGCCTTACTATCGGATATATATCGATAATTTGGCTGTATTTTTTC